TAAGGTGCCCTATTCTCTCCCTAGTTGCTCTTAATGTACTGTAGAATCTCTTTGGATTATTCTTAACCTTACTGATCAAGGCCATCTCAGATCCCCTTTTTGCCCTCCTGGTTTCTCTCTCAAGAATGCCACTATATCCCTTATACTCTTCAACCTGATCCCAGTCATTTATATCTAACATACCCCTCCTTTTTCCTGGCCAGGGCCTCAATATCTTTATTCATCCATTGTTCCCTACTCTAGCCTTACCCTTCACTCTAATAGGAACATATTGCCTCTGAACTTTCGTTATCTCACGTTTGAAAGCCTCCCACTTGTCAGTCTCCTCTTTACCTGCAAACAGTCTACTCCAATCAACTTTTGAAAGTTCCCATCTTAGACCGTCAAAATTGGCCTTATTCTAATTTAGAACTTTAACTTTTATACAAGGCCAATGCTTTTCCATAACTGTTTTGAAAACTAATAGAATTCTGATCACTAGCCCCAAAGTACTCCCTCACCAATCCTTCAGTTACTTGCCCTGCCTTACTTCCCAAGCGGTCAAGTTTTGCTCCTTGTAGCTACATCTTTGAAGAAAGCTTTCAAGCCCTTAACATTATGACAGTCCCAGTCTGTTTGGAAAGTTAAAATCCCCTCTATTACAACCCTATTATTTTTACACATTTGCTCGTCAGCTTCCCACTGATTACTGGGGAGCTTACAGTACAATCCTTTCAAGGTGATCATCCCCTTATTTCTGAGTTCTACCCATGTAGCATTGTAGAATGTTCCTGAGAGATCATCCAAAGTACAGCAGTAATGTTTTCCGTAATCAAAAATGCCAACCTCTCCTCTCTTGCCTCCCTTTCTATCCTTCCTACAGCATCTAAACCCAGAACGTTGAGCTGCCAGTTCTGTCCCTCCCTCAGCCACATTTCAGTAATAGCTACAATGTCCCAGTTCCATGTCCCCAGCCATGCCCAGAGTTCATCCACCATACATGTCAGACTACTTGCATTGAAATAAATGCAGTTTAATTCTTCAGAGTCGCCTCATTCTCTGATTTGCTCTCTAACTACTGAGCCATCCTTACCGGTCTCTCTATTCACACTACTACTTAACACCACCCCCAACTCCTCTCCCTCCTAGTTTAAAGGCTCCTGAATAAGACTAGCAAATCACCCTACCAGGATATTGGTTCCCCCTGCAACTCAAGTGAAATCTGTCCCTTATGAACAGACCTCTTCTGCCCCAGAGAAGATCCCAATGATACAAAAATCAGAATCCTTGCCTACTGCACCATCTCCTCAGCCATGATTTATCTGCCCTATCTTCTTATTCCCACTCTCACTAGCACATGACACCAGGAGTAATCCAGAGATTACCAAGTTTGAGGTTCTACTTTTTAACCTCCTAACTTCCTATACTCAGTCTGCAAAGCCTCCAACCTTTCTCTAACTATGTCGTTCTTACCAAGATGTACAATAACCTCTGACTTCTCACTCTTCCATATGACAATATACTACAACGGCTCTGACTTATCCTTGACCCAGGCACCAATGAGGGCGCACACCATCCTAAATTTTTGCTCACAGTCGCAGAATTATCGATCTGTGCCCCTGACTGGAGACTCCCCTGTAACAAATACTCGTTTGAACCCAAGATCTCCTGAATGAATAAGCAAAACCTGCCAAATTTTATGCATATATTCCCTGTTAAATTTGCGTTATAAAGTAATTAAGAACCTTTAAAGTTACTTCCTCTAAACAAGCTTTATTTTAAACTGCACATTAGATAAATGTGACATGTTAAACTTTCTCGATGTACACATGACAAACCACATGTCAGGCTCTCCCGTGTGTTGGAGAAATGGAGGAGCAGAATGACAAATCAGCAATGGCTGGAGTGGGAATCAGGTGAATACAAGCTGATGTGATTTTTCTTTTTTTAAATCTACAGCAACTACAAAGTGCTGGAGAAATTCAGCAGGGCTGGCAGCATCTTAAGAGAAAGAAAAAAAAATGTCTTCAGTCCTTTATGCCTGTTCAGAAGCTGAGCTTCAAAGACAAGTCACAACAGACTTGAATCATTACCTCTGTTTCCCTCTCCAAAGGTGCTGCCAGACCTGCTGAATTTCTCTAGCAGTTCTTATTTCATGTTTCCATTCACATGGTTTTTTAAACATATCATATTTTGGGGCTGTTAACAAAGTAATCTTAGATTTTCTTTGTTACATATATTTTAACTGGAAGACTGAATGTACAAGGTATTTTAGAATACAAGAGAAATAGAATTATTGTCACAATTCTGTAATTTATTTTTTGAGGGACTGATATTACAATCAAGTTTTGCAAATTCAGGTTTACCTTCAAAGTCTTTTTTTTAATGTAGGCTTATTTCAGTGGTGCAATAGAGCCTCTGATTGTGTGGTTTTAAAAAGCAAGCTAATCTTTGGACAAATATTCCATTGCTCCTGACAGTATAAAATACAAAAAGCTAGTTAAGCAAACAATTACAATGATACAAGTTTCCAGTATCTTTCTTACTAGCAGAATGGGTTTCAGAAAAAAAAGTTATATACTTCTCAGAGCTGAAAAATCTTCCAAAGACAATATTCTTGTAAATGATTTATTGCACTTAAAATACCACGTCATACTAGGATAGCTACCCATAATGCTTTCTTTGTAACAGGTCAACTTTAAATAGGTTTCAACACAAACCTTTGAACTTTTGATTTAGGAAAAGGATTGAATGCCATACGCATGCCAGAAATGCCATTTTGACAAGCACAGAATGGAACTGGCTGCAATCAACAATACTCCGCTTCGACCTTACTAGGCTCTGGATTGCGATATACAAGTAACAACGAACCATGAAAGCTCATCACATTCACAGGTGAGTGAAATGTTTAAATACTGACCTTTCAGAAGTCATTGAAAGACAGAAGCAGATTCAGGGTGTGCTATATTTAACGTAGCAAATTAATCTTTTCAAATCTGTTGTTCTATTAAGTTGGCTATTTGATTTTTAAGACATGAAACTTTTAAAAGTAGTTCCAGCAAATTGGATTTCTTTCCAGTAGAATTTTAAAAACAGGAAATAAAATTTATTGATCCTGTTTTTAAAAAAACATTATTCTGCACAACAATTTGGAAATGCATCATGAATAACAGCAATTCATCTTCTGTTGCATGGTGTTGATTTAGAACCACAAGAACAAATCCCTTGGTTCTCCTAGTCATTTTCCTGTTTGTTCACATGATAGGAGTCAAAGCAAAAGATCAAAAGCTATCCTATCAAGCTTCATTGAGAACAAATTGGTTACTATTTGTGGCAAGACAGGTTTTTAACATAGTCATAGTGTTGTACAGCATGGAAATGGACCCTTCAGTCCAACTCATCCATGCCAACCAGATATCTTAAACATCCTAAATAAATCTAGTTCCATATTCCTCTAAACCCTTCTTATTCATACACACATCCAGATGTCTTTTAAATGTAATGGTACCAGCCCCTACCACTTTCTCTGGCAGCTCATTCCATACACTGCATGAAAAAGTTGCCCCTCAGGTCCCTTTTAAATCTTTCCCTTTTCACCTTAAATCTATGCTCTCTAGTTTTGCAGACACCCCACCCTGAGGAAAATACCTTGTCTACTGACTCAATCCATGCCCCTCATGATTTATAAACCTCTATAAAAGGTCAACCCTCAGCCTCCGACAATCCAGGGAAAATAGCCCCAGTCTACTCAGCCTCTCCCAACAACTCAAACCCTCCAACCACAGAAACATCCTTGTAACTCTTTTCAACCTTTTCAAGTTTCATGCCATCCTTCCTACTGCAGGGAGACCAAAATTGCACACAGTATTCCAAAGTGGCCTGATCAATGTCCTGCACAGCTGCAGAATGACCTCCCAACTCCAACACTCAAATGAGACATCATGTAAAGAAAACCTCATCTCTCAGATAACTTATTCTTTAACACCAAGTGTAATCAAATCTGCAATTTCGTTTGCAGAGACAAAAGGGTAAAGGAGAAACATTATCAAATCAAAACTTCTCAACGAACTGTAATATTTGACCACCAAACAATACTAACATTTTCTAAACTCCCCAAGCATCTGAGGACCAGGCTTCCTATTAAAGTCAGTGCTTAAAGCAATTCATTCAGAGTGTAATGCAAGTTTTATGATCCATGTCCCACTACCTCTGATCTGCTGCTATGGGTCAGCTTAATTATACATTGGTCTCTTCCATTGGAAATTAATCAGTTGGTAGCCAGAAGTAAAATAAATTGGTCAGGCAACTTCTGCCAAACATTGCATCCAACTAACAATATTTGTTTTTCAAAATTTGCCATAAACTTCAAAATAGCAGAGTAGTGCTAGGTGCCAAAGTCTCAAAGTGAAATCGACAGGACACTGATATGGCAGAGGAAATTGATGGCAAAGGTTGACTGCAAGATACTACAGAATGCACAGATGGGCAGTTTTCAGTAACCCAAGTTCCCACTCTGCTGTGGCTTCTGCCCCAGTTGATGATTGGAGACAATACTCTACAGCAGTGCTCTCCAAGCTTTTGATGCACAAGATCATTTTTTGAAGTATAACCCAATATTTACCCCGAAGAAAACACAGAATAAATAGTTTATTTTTAGTACTATGTAAATCTAAAACAAAGGCCTCTCCTCACCATGTCGTGTGTTGCACTGAGACTGCACACTATCTGCCAGTACTTGAAGTCTGTGTTGTAGTCTGAGACATGTTCATATACAGTCCATCAAATGGTGTCTGCGAGGCAGAAAGATACTTGGACTTCATTATCTTCATTCACGAGAATGCTGTCTCACAGAAATAAGAGGCAGAAGCTTTCACTTGAAAAAGCACAGGACGATAAACTGGCTGTCCTTTGATTTGACTTTGAGTTCAATATAATTTTGCTCAGTAATAATTTGCATTTCAACTCAATGGCTTTGTAAATCAAACACCTGATGGAATTTGGTAGCCAACACACCAATATCTACTTGAAGGGATGGATCTGAGACAAACATAACCCTTTTCTCCATCACATCTAATTCACGAAATCACCTATTGAATTCCTCTGCTCATATCCTCGTGCGCACAGTTGATTGCTGGTAGGGAACATTTTTTTGTTTTTGATTTTTTCTAGTATTTTCCTCAGAGTCAGGAATTGTTGCAGTGTTTTCAAAAATCAGGAGAACCACAAACCCATTTTTAATGTGGATGAAAGCAAGTCTCTGTCCTTGCCCGACAGTTCACATACCGCTCAGTTTTGACATCATGTCTGTGAGGAACCCAATGTCAAACAAACGCATGTTGTCTGATAGCTCACATAACGCTTCACACCTTCAGTTAAGTGACAATCAGGCATTCTGTAAATCTTGATAGACCTTCCCTTGACTTAACTATCTTACACTATTATGAAGGATTAGTTCACCAGGAACAGCATCAAGGAAGTATTTAAACAAGCAAAAAACTGAAGGGCTCTCATTCAAGATCAAGTTTACAATCTGAAGAACAACATTCATTGCACGAGAAAAGTCCTAAACTTAACCTGTGAACGCTTGGAGGAATATGCAATAGCAATTAACAAGACAGGAAAAGCAGACCATTTCTGTAAAATGCAACAGTGTGCATATGCATCATCCATTGTGATGAAAATCAGTTTCATGATTGCAATGTTTTTCTCAAGCACGTACCTAATGAATTCTTTGAGGAAACCCTCACCTCTTGTTCTCCAACAGGAAAAAAATGGTGAGAAGATCCTCCTTACTTACTATGTCCTTAAAAACAATGCACAAAAAAAAAAATCAGCAGGGCTGCATCATGGCTGGGTTCATTGAAGTGCAGTGAGAAGCATTCAGTGCTTCAGATCCTGCTGCATTTACTAAAAACACATCTTCAAAAGGTTCCACTTGCTTTGCTACTGTGGAAGCACCAACTGAAGTACTCTAGATTACTATTATTTCAATGTTCTTAATTTCCTTTTAAAATAAGAAAAAAGTGAGCAGCCAGTCATTGCTTCTTTAATTACTTTGCCATCTGTGAACAATTTACTGTTATGCCAGAAAATGAGAAATTCGAAATTATTCTTCAGTGCAGGCCTAATCTTTTACTGTTGGCTTAGGAAAAAAAACACATTCGTTGAGCTTTCTGATCAGCTTTTACCTCATCAACTTCCTTGGTCTGAAGCGTGTTGTTCAAGGGAAAACTATCCTTGAATTTGCTATGCATTGCAGTGTGGTATCATGCCAAATTCCCCTTTTTACTTACCAATATACTTTGGTGACATACAAGACAAGTGCTCTTATCTTTTACGGTTATTAATAGATACTAATTTTTCAATTACTCGTGGAAGTTCAACATTTTAGTTTCGTTTTAGACGATCCAGCTTCACTTTGCAGTTTGTGACGTCACTCTGCAGCTCATCATGCTGCAAGTAAGCCCTCTGGATCTGCACCCTGGAATATCCAGACCTTTGCAGGTTGCTTTCAAATGTGGAGGTACAGGAGGTCACTTCTGTGGTTGCAATTTGTTTTTGGAGCCCCTGGTTGCCTGGTGTTGCTCAGATATTGAGTACAGGCATAGAACCACCAACCCAGCCCTTATTTTTACCCTTCACCCTGCATGGGTCTATTAGATAAGCAGCTGAAGAGAAACTGCAGGTCTACACAGAATGGACAGAAAAGCAGGATTAGCCAAGCTGCTGTTGCAGAGAATCTGCAAAGACATGATATGTCAAAGACAGTTTCCCATGTTTCTAGTAGTTATATACTTGCTTTACTCATCAGTTCCTAGCATATTTCTTATTTGCTTGCATTGCCACCACAAACTTACTTTACTCTGCAATGATAGTCAATAATAATTCAACAATCTAGCACAGCCTGTTAACTTTTCTCTAGTCGCACAACTTCCACAAGCAGAAGTCATAGAGCAACATGACGATCAATGTGCATGCACCGAGGCAACGTAGGAAGGCAGGGAGATTGGGATCAATGTGTTGGAGACCACTGCTCAATCAAAGTTCTCTAATTTTAGGAGAGATCGGACCAACTTGGTTTGTTTTTACTTGAACGTCGAAGGCTGAGAAGCGACCTGATAGAAGTTTACGAAATTATGAGTGGCACGGATAGAATGGATAGTCGGTCTTTGTTCCAAGGTAGAAATGTCAATTACGAGCGGATATATGTTAAGGTAAAAAGGGGAAGTTTAAAGGAGATGTGAGAAGCAAGTTTTTTTTTTAAAACAGAGTAGTAAGTTTTGGTATGCAATGGCAGAGGAAGTGGTAGAAGCAGATACAATAGCAATGTTTAAGAGGCATCTTGACAGATATGAAAATACGCAGGGATATGGACCAGATATAGGCAAAAGGTTTTCAGTTTAAAAAGGCATCGTGTGTCAGTGCAGGCTTCCTGGTTCAAAGGGCCTGCTCCTGAGCTATACAGTTCTTTGGAAGATAGACTGGTTTTCTCCAGGCTTAAAATAGCTTTTACCTACACAGCAAGCTCCTGAGATGGTGGGAATCAAATGGCTTCTCACTACCTTGTTCATAGCCTGAAGCTTTCCAACTACCTAAGAATCATAGCTGTTAGCAGGCAGAAGGCCTTTGTCGTTAATAATTGGTCAGCGGTCCACGGATTAATCAGCTACTTCTTGCTGGCTGAATCTCAGTGTGTATGCACCCCTTGAATTCCACCTCATCTAGAAACTACACTTCCAAACAAAGATTGATCAAGAAGTTGTGCAAATGGTGTTTAATGAGGTTTAAGTTACTGGCTTTTAAAAACTGCACTGATCCTTCTCAAACCAGTTCTTTCCCCATTTCAGTCAACAAAAGCTAGAAAAATAAAGAGACAGTGTTTACAATCTTTAGAACTGCGACTTATGTGACCCCTTAATCTTGCATTGTTAATGGAATAAATCCTCAATTTAAACCCTTCAGTCTTAATCCCACAGAAGTCTTAGCTGCTTTTTAGTCGAGGGAACAAGAGATTTTTAGATAACCTCTACCTGTTTTGCAATAAAAAGTAGTTGCAAAGGAAACAATAATTGCCCCTCAAACAATTTTTTTTTTTTTTAATACAGCAAATAAGAAAATACTTACTGATATCATCTTCATGGTAGATCACAGAGTGGAAAGGTGGCTTTCTGTTTTTAATGTATCGCTCAGCTGGTTCAACGTAGAAAGTACCCTGGTGGGTCTGGACAAACCCTTCAAACCGTCCATCTACAATAGAACCATGACTGAGAGACCCTCTCTCTCCTGAAACATGGGGAAAAAAAAAGAGTAACTAAAACTTTCAAACCACTGAGCAAAAACTAGAAAAGTCAAGTTACTCAAATCTCGTGAGTTAAATTCCTTCAGGAAGAATAAGATTTAAAATATAAATGAATCTGAATTTTCTTTTTGAATTTAGCAGTGAAGTTGCTCCCACACTGAACACTGTGGGTTCAAAATATAGTACATACCACAGTAAAAATATTAAAATTTCTTAGCATTCAGTACAGGTACCAAAGACACCTTTGGTTGAAGTGAGTTAGGGGGAATTAACACACCCAATAATAATCAGATGCTGATATAGTTAAGTTGAGTATTTTTTGCATCTTCTCAGTTCATTTAAAGTTAATCTAGTGCTTTGACTATGGCTTATTCAACCCACAAAGCAAACTCGTGAGGTGAATTCACAAGCACTCACTATTTGATGCTTAGAAAAAGCTCCATGATTTTGAATACAACTGCAGCTGTTCACTCAGCAAGCTGGACTCAAGAATGCTAGGGTGCTAGGTTCACAATGGAAATTAAATTTTTAATCAATCCTTTCACACATATTTTGACATTCATACGGAGGTGGGCCTTGAATCCAGGCGTTCCAGCCCAGGAGGTAGGGACACTACCACTGTACACAATAGAAATTGTTTTTCTTGAATTTAACCTCTCAGAGATTCTGACACACTTCTGGAGCAGGTGGTATGTGAAGTCAAGTCTCCTGGCTCAGAGGTAGGGACAACCACAGCAGACAAGAGGAGTCCACCATAATGGAAATTAGGTGTTTTGTGATCAAACTGTTCTGAAACGTTATAGCACATCTATCCGCCTGACTCAGAAAGGAATACTGCCACTGTACCACAGAGTTCCCACAATCTAATTTTTGTAAAAATTTAACCTATTTTTCTAATAAACCGGTTCAGAGATGTTATTACACAACTTTGGAGCAGGTGGAACTTGAACCCAGGCCTCTTGGTCCAGGGGTATGGACACTACCACTGCACCACAAGTTGGACACAAAAATCTAAATCACTATTAAAAGCACAAGCAGAATCACCTGGCTGCAATTCAAAAGTGATGGGAAGAGCATTCAAAACTTTTGACAGCTTGCATTGCCCTTAACAGGCTTTGCACACAAAGTATTCAATTGGAAACACATGTGATGGGGAGAAAAAGCTATTCTGTTGTAAGAGCATGAGACCAGATCAGTTGAAGATATCTGGTCAGCGCAGATGAGTTGGATCGAAGGGTCTATTTCAGTGTTGTATAACTCTATGACTGTTGGGTTTTAAAGAACTTTGACTCATCCTAAACCAGACTATTTGACTCTCCAACAACAGCATAAGATGATTTGGAATCAGTGACACGAATCCAGATTTGAGACTGTGGTTCATCCAAGACTATTATTTTTGTAATGGAAGAAATGCAGCAACTAACTTGCACACAGCAAACTTCTACAAACAGAAATGGAGTCAATTCCAGCGAATGGAGAGCCAAAGGTCACATGTTTGAGACATGAACTGCCAGGAGCTTGAGGCAAGTTTTGAATTTTCACTAAGGTAATTCAGAAGTTGCTTCAAGTTGGATGGGGTTAAAGGGGTTTGTTTGAACCAGGGAGTATATGAAAATTTGTTGCCAATCTCAAGACCAAGCGAGTGAAAACAGCATGGCAAATGGAAAAGGTATGCAGTTGGCAGTCAATATGATAGAACAATCTACATGAAGGGAGAGGTTTAATGAGAGCCCTGAGCCAAACAGCAGAGTTAGAGTTACAAATCCATCCAAATAAATTTAATCAGACTGTTTAAAAATAACTACCAAAAAACATCAGTAACCAAAAATCTATTAAATAATTTTGAAGAATTCAGTTGAACAATCAATCATTCATGATACGATACTAAAACTTAACATTTTCAACTGCTTTTTAAAATTATTCATATAACCAATGCAGTTTTATCATCTTCAGACAGCACTGTGGCTTCTTCAGGAGGTAAGTGCTAAAATAATAATTGTGAATTACTAAGCTATGCAAAGAAATCTACCAGTAATTGAATATTTATTAATTTTTTTTCCGGTTACCCTTAAATTGGCACCCAATTTAAAAGACTATTTTTCATATCAGTGCTGTTTCAAACTCATCACTTGACTGTTTTGAAATCATGTCAGGACACTTGGTGAATACAAGTAGCTAATGGAACATTATAAAATGTGAAATAAAATAGGAATAATTTAATAATTCATTATACTTGACAAGGTATAGATCACAAGTTAATGGACATAATGACAAGCTCAGGAAACAGTTCTTCTGACTTGCACTCAAAAGCCCATTCATTCTTTGGCACTGTCAGCACACTGACACAATTAAAGCAGTTTATTTTTAAAAAAAAAAAAAAAAAAAAAAAAAAAAAAAACCGGTCTTCGCATCTTACAATCTAAATTTATGACATACTCAAAACAATCACTGGACTAGGGTTTCCCAAATAGGAATGGCTGCTGTGGAGTTGCAACCAAATGTTTTATCTGCTTTTTCTAATTGTGTGTACAGCAAATTTGAACGATCTTGGAGGTCCAATTCCTGAGCAAAAAAAAAAAAAAACACACACAATCAAAAAGGTAGTTGCTTAAATCAACAGTCCACTCTTAAAGCTTCCTCAAACCCTACAGTTCTAAACACCAGTGAACTCATGCTCCAGGGTCATGGTAATTTTCAAGTCTCAGGATGGGATCACAGTGGGGTAACTACACTAGATCATCTTCCTTCTTCTTAACTCACATTATTCACTACAGATTACAGATCCATAGACTCTAGCTATTCCGCTCAACTGCATTCATGAATGTCTGGGTTGCAGAAATCTATTGAGCCCACTGGTTGATATATGCTCAGATAATTGAGAGTGGTCCTAAGCATATCTGCCCTTCAAAGCAGTTACTGGACCGATGAAGGTATTATACTTATTGGCACCACGCTGTCCAAATATTTTTTCCAACCTGTCTTTTCATCTTTAGTAAATTTCAGAACATTGCACCAACAGAAATTTTTGTTTTTTAAAAAACCATCAGAACTGCTTGGACTGAAATAAAGTCATATAGAAATGTCCCGTCAAAGTCATGTGACCTGTACACACACAACGCAGACAGCAATCTTACTGACGCTTCAAAAATTTATTCTGATCAAACTACTGTCTGTTGTGCTCAGAACATGTTACCAGAAGTGGAGCTTGATTGAGTGCAAAGAAAAAAAAAAGCTCTTGACAAAGCAATATATAAACATTGAGACCTGTGAAAGCTGCTATAACCAAATGAAATAAGCTAAAATATAAAAACAAAATTGGACACAGCTGAAACACCAGCAAGAGAAAGTGCCTGCAGTTTTACTACCTGCAATGCCAAAATTAAGAAATAAGAACAGATCTGTTCAACAAGCCAGAGAAGTTAAGTATCACTACACACCCAGCACTGTTGGAAAGAGACGGTTTCAAAATTTGTTCCAACCTGAATCTTTGAAGAGCAGAAAAAAAAAAACACCACTGAAATTTTGAAAGCCTTCAAGATGTGCTTTGAACTTGAAATGAATTTAACTTATAATAAACCATATGCATTCAATATTAGGCCCCAAGGTTAAAATAAAAATCCATTCATCAATAAAATGACCTCATTAATTCAGCTTACAGAATCCTGTGAAGTTGCCTCATTAAAAGGCCATCTAATTAAAGAAAGATTGTATTAAATACAAGGGATCCTATATGAGAGCGCATCTACTGAGAGAAGTTCATTCTCAGGAAAACCACATACATGCAGAAATTCTGAGGTCATTTATCAGCAGCTAGAGCATAGTCATGGCAGAAGAGACTAGCTTTTATATTATACAGATAGATACACAAACCCCAAAAGGGCAGAACAATCATGGTCAAAGGCAGGATGAAAATGCTACAGGTCATCTGGTGTGGTAAGCAGTATTCTTACTGCAAAAAGCTGAATCATTTTGCACACAAGTATATAGCTAAAAGAAAGCACAAAAAGTACAGATAGCTACTACAGTCATATCAGGTCAAGATTCTGATGAATCACTCCAAACTTTACAATAGGTTGGTTCAGTCAAGGAGAACATGAGGTCAGCATGAAGTGCCAGATAGACACTCGTGTATCATGCAACATCATGATCTTTACAAACCTGTGTTAAGTGGCTCAACATGGCAATCCAGAAATGAGGCCCTGAAAAGTAAGGTTAAGGCTGCATGATGGCACTGTATTCAAGCTGAAAGAGTAGATTACTAAAGTCCAATGTTCAACATGAATGAGGATCATGAATGACAAACAAAAGGCACTTATCTCAGTCAGAGCAAGTTTAAAGCTTGGTCTAGTAAAGCTCGACATGCCAGAAGAGATTTGCAGTGTATCACAGCACACTAAATCACCAACAGTGGGATTGACCCTAGAAGAATACAAGGTGTGCGTACAGGAACACAGAGGTCTGGCAGCATCTGTGGAGACAAATAGAGTTATGTTTCAAGTCTTCTACGGATTTTCATCAGAACTGTTCTCCAATATTGAAGTGAATGAGAATGCAAGACCAACTCAGCAACTGCTCTGGAAAAGTTCCAGCTCCCATCTTAAAAGAAAGACAAGATAGAAGAGCTAGGAGAAAAAGGAATTAATGAAGAAAGTGATAATTCAACAGAATGGATTAGCAGCACAGTAGCCATCAAACAACCTGGAAAGTTGAAAGTACGCATGGATTTAAAGGATCTAAATGAAGTCCCAACGAGGTCTCACTGTCCCTTGTTAAGCATTGAAGGAATTTTGCCACAACTTGCAAAGGCAAGAGATGTGCTCTACTGGCTGAATGGCAGCTACAAAATAAAGGACCACGTTACAAGCACTGCACTGACTTGGAAGTATCAAAGTAAGCAAGCTAGAAAGCTGATGATGCAAGACACCCTGGACTGATCATGGATATAGTAAAACTCTTGACACTGGCAGGAACTTATCACTGTGGACTACTATTTTGACGACTGGAGGTTGACCAGCTGACTTTGACAACTATCATTGAGATTGTTATGTCTGAAAGCACACTTCAGCTGTTATAGCATTGTTACTCATTATAAAGTTGACAATGGACCTCAGTGAAAAATTTAGTTGCTTTATAACTGGTAGGGAAATTCAATGCTTGATTCACTTTTTTGAAGTAGTGATTAGGTGTATAGATGCCAGTAGGGCATTGGATGTAATCTACAAGGACTTTGGTAAGGCTTCTAACAGAACCCCGTATGGAAGACTGGTCAAGAAAATAACAGCCCATGGGATCCAGGGATAAATTTAGCAAATTAGATCAGTAACAGGAGTAAAGGGCAATGGCTGAAGGTTGTTTTTCTGACTGCATGCCTGTGTCGAATGTTGGATGCCTTGTGATTTAGTGTATATTAATGATCCAGACACAAAATACAGGAGGTCTGATTAATAAGTTCACAGATGAAAATCACTGGTAGCATAGTAAAAAGCCTGAAGACTACAGGACAGGCTGATCAGATGGGCAGAGCAATGGCAAATGCAGTTTAATCCAGAAAAATGAAGGGATGCAGTCTGGGAGGACTAATATGGCAAAGGAGAACACAATGAACGGTAGGAAGTACAGAGGGTCAACGTGCCCTTGCTGTGCATGTCTCCAGATCTTAGAAGGAAACAGATGGATACAGTGATTAAGATTGGAGAGCTAGTCATCATACAAACATTCAATGCTCTCAACATGAGTCAGCTTAAGTGACAACTCAGGATGGTTGTCACCTTAATCATACATGGTGGAAGTAAACCACCAGATATACCACTGCAAACACAAGCACATACACAGAACTGGAGAAACTACCCTAGTGCAAGTAGCTGATCAGAAAATACAAACTCATCTTCTACACAATCCACAGAAGCCATCAGATCCAGAGGTGCACAGCAACCCAACAAGAGAAATGGAAGAACAAAGGTACCACAGCAATAAATAACATGGAAATGATATTCCCTGGTGAAGGAACATCCCTAAAATGAACCAACAACTACATGCAAGCATTTCATTTAGAGACCAGCACAACTTAAGGACTACGTACGCAATGTTTATGCAGAGACAAATGTGAATCATCAAGTGCTAATTCAGGAGAACAGCATTAACTGGGTAACTCAGTGTACAAATGTAACCAATTACATTTTTTTTTTTATATAAAAAGAAGGATATTTGGACTGAAACAGAATCAAGTAAATTGCGTTCCTGGTCTGTTATCATGTAAATACCGAAACAGGCCCACTCTACAGGTAACAATCTTACTCACACTCCAACAAAGAATTCTTTCTGATCAGACTGCTGGCAGTTGTGCTCAGAACTCTTCATTATCTTGAAGGCATTTTCTCAAGTCACCCATTTACATTCTCCATTCTCATCAAAAAAAATAGTAAAATCACGTGATAAATCTTTTTCCTGTGTCAAGTCCTCACTTTTGCACTACAGCTGGAACGCTCTGCATTTGCCAGGCAACTCCAAGACTTTTTTTTTTTTTTTTAAAAACACAACGCCTTCCAAACACTCCACCACAAACATGAAAAAAGCAGGAGCATGGGAATACCATAATCCTTAATTCCTCCTCCAATCACAGCATTTCAGCTTGGATCTCAGAATCCATAAAATCCCTACAGTGTCAAAACAGGCTATTTGGCCCAACATGTCCACACAGACCTTCTGAAGAGTATCCCACCTATTCCTGTAACCCTGCATTTCCCATGCCTAACCCATCTAGCTTGCACATCCCTGGACACTATGGGCAATTTAGCATGGCCAATCCATCTGACTTGCACATCTTTGGACTACGGGAGGAAACTAGAGCACCTAGCAGAAACCCATGCAGACACAGAGACCACACAGTCACCTAAGGATGGAATCGAACCCGGTTCCCTGGCGCTGAGAGGCAGCAGTGCTAAACACTGAGCCACTGGCCTGGCCCGCCCCAAAATCAAATTCAAATTAAACCATGTGCCACTGCAGGATTTGAACCCAGGTCCACAAAACATTACCTGGATCAACAATCCAGTGATAACACCGCAAGGCCACCATCTCCCTCTTTTTGCCATTCTTAGACTGTTGCCATGCGAAAACCTCGGAACTTCCTAACTTAAAGCATTTTGTGGGAGCCACTTCTAAATATAGATTTCAGCAGTAAGAATGCAGTTCACCATTCTCCTGATGTAACTAAGGATAGACTACAAAAGCTGACTTTAATTAATGTATTAAAAAATCTTAATGTATTAAACAAATTTTTAAAAATAAATCTTTCCTCCAATGTGGTGCAGAAAATAGGGCACGGTCCTAAGCCAAATTTCGTATGGATCTCTCAGGTCTGAATTAATCTCTCCACCTGAACTGTTAACTGATAAAAAGCACACACTAGACCAAAAACTCTAGCTTAGTTGGCCTGTGCTTGGAGATTAAAATTTGGAGACAGTCAGCAAACTAAAATCAGACAAAAAACCTTTTTCGTAACTAATTTTTAAACTAAATGTTCAGTGTTCCAACATGATAGTTCACCAAGTCATGTTATACTGTTGACATAAGCCTGCTTAAAATGGGGTAGCCACAATTAGAAATTTGCATCACAATTTTTCTGTATGGATAAAAACCAAACAAACAGTATAAGGCACTGTGGCTACTTGACATTATTTAATTTTACACTGATGGAGTGGATGACAATGCCTGCCTTTCTACACTTCAAGTAAGGAGATTCTGGTCATTACTGTACTGTGTGAGGAACATGTTTAATTTGTATTGGCAGTTTAAACAGCAAGACCTAAATCATTATCAAGAATGGCCAAGTATTGTCAGTGTTAGGAATCAGACACTGGGAATGCAAAGGTATCTGCAACTGAAGTTCTTCAAAGCTGACAACCAGACCAAACGTCTCTTACAAAATAAGAGAGAAGTCATACTCTGTCAATCAAGTGTTAAACAGGATTATGGTACAGCATACCCAGTTACTCCTTCAAGATTGTCTTTAAGTCAACTATGTCATCATTGCCTATAAGTATCAGAACACTTGTTACATCCCAAGGGTACTTTTCTTACTTATCTCTTTTTCTTCTGTGAAGGCAGACTCATCCTGTATTTCACCTTAAGTTGCCAGCCTGAACAGAAAATTGAACATGTGCCAACTGAGCATAGCTGCCAATATTTCAGTCCAGAGTCAGAATGTGTTGGATTGAAACCTTAAACCAGAACTTGAGCACAAAGTAGGCATGTACTCTAGGGTAGTACCCTGTGGCGCATTATTGAGGCCGAGCAATTTTTAAAGCTGTTTTGGTAATCACAAATGATCGTGGGTAGACTCATTAGTCAACCACGTCCAAGCTGTTAGTTGTTTCACAGTCTTCTGCGGGTTCACTCATGACTGAAGACACCTAAGCAAGATCAGCAAAGAAAGTGCTCAGAGGAACACTTGTTGTACCACCCCTGGTCTCTCTCTAGGTATGTTAGAGTTTGCAATTCAAACAGATGTTCCAGGTAACAAGTGCAGCATCAACCTTCAGGGAAGCTCTCTCCAATCAGGAGATGCAATACTTAACATAGATAGTAGGAACTGCAGATGCTGGAGAATCTGAGATAACAAGGTGTAGAGCTGGATGAACACAGCAGGCCAAGCAGCATCAGAGGAGCTCTAGGCCCAAAACGTCAGCTTTCCTGCTCCTCTTGTTAACTCATGCAATACTTAACAGTTGGCTTTCATGCTTTTAGATTTCAATTTTGAAGTAAAATTTGGGGCAGATCTAAAATGATCTAGATACCATAATATGGACCTACTCAGTTACACAACAAAAATGTATTTCATCACAAAACTTCACATTTTTACCTCAAAAGACATGTTAAATTGGCTTATAAAATGTAAACGTGGCCGCAATATCAGTTGTGTTAAGCTCCTAGAGTGACTAAAGTTCGTGGCAAGGTAAGACGTCATGTTGAACACCACTAACAATTATCGCTTTAAAATATTCCTGTCTTTTGACAACTGTTAAAAAAAAACTCATCTTCTAGCAAGTGACAATTAAAATTTATAAAGGAATCCAGCAATGAGTTGCAGACTAGACACCAAAGGAGCTCGGTCTGCAAATAATCTGTGTCGTGCAGAACATATATTAATGCCAGGTCACAATTAATAATCTTACCATAGATTTCGCCAGTGTAAATATGAGAGGCATCGTAATTCAGCTCTTCACCTGATACTTCCAGTTTAAAATCATCTGTGAATATAGAGGTGTCTCGTTTCATTCTCAGGTTGAACTGCCTAAGAAAGCAAGCAGTGAATAAGGCAAATTAAATCTTTGGAAACATTCTAGAAATAGAAATTTCTGTGAAAGTAAGTTTCTTTCATGGTAAACTCATTATTTGCAAACTACACCAGCATGGTACAGGTAGAATTAATTTAAACCATCCCTTGTTTCTTTCCTACTAATCAGCCAAAAATCTGGTACTCCATTTTTGTCAACTTTTCCAGTAAAGACAGACACAGATGTAATATGGGCAATGTAAAATATTGATCTATCATAAGATTTTTAGCCAAGTACTTACAGAATGTACTATTTACAACTGGAAACAGATTTATTGAAAAGGTGGACAAAAAAAAAATGAACATTGCTAAAAATACACTGTTTACGTCACATCAGGAAAAATCAAGTTGAATTTCTCCACAAAACACAAGGAAGCTGTTTAACCGTGAATGAATAACTGATTTGTTTTATTTGAAACAAAAACAATGCCAACTCTCAGAAGTGTACACGATTGACTCAAGAAGCTACAATAAAGTTTTTTTTAAAATAAGCAGACTGTTACTCCATGGCCAGAAAATGGTTAAAAAAGTGTAGCAGAACACAAAAGGATGACAATTGTTTTTTGAAAAGATACCACATTAATTATGAAAAGCATAACCTGGTTACAAGAAATTAACCACTTAAATTCTATTGAGCCTTCGCATACAAATACCAGTAAAATTTATTAGACATTTGGGAGTACCAAAATGCATCATTGCTGAAGTGCTACCTTTGGAAGCTTTTGGTCTTGCAAATATCTGAACAATTTGCATGAAAAACCAAATGTTCATGGCAAAACAAAACATTTTACACAATGAGGAGTGTGTTGGCTGGTTGGCAAGTGGCATCTGGTACTGGCATTAGCATCAAGAATGATTCACTTAGAAAGATGACCAAGTTAACTTACAAACTTGGCTTATTCCAGGCAGGTTGACTAACTGGTCAAGGCATTGCCTCGAGAAGTGAACTACAGAACAGCTGTCACCTATTCGGTCAGGTGAAACAGGGATCTTGGTTCCATGGAAGTGACCTGACCACTGAGCTAAGAGGTCCATGTTCAAGTTCCATCTTCTCCAGAGTTGTGAATTATCTCTGCAAGTTTGATTAGCAAAAATATTCAGAGAATGCTTACATTCCTTTTGTGCGAAAGTAACTCTAAAGATATGTACCTTGCAGTAAGTGCAAATGCCGTATACCACAAGCGATGTTCCCTCTTAGCTGCATGGCTACTCCAATGTTCTGCACACCATGATCAGTGTCAGCACGCCAGTTGCACCGTTGACCTCCAAAGCACAAGCATCTGGTCAGAAAATTTAGAGGGAATGCTGACGGCAACCTGACCGACTATCTTCAAATTGGTCATTCGTGTAATTCTCAATACACTCAGCATTATTTAGTTAATCTTGTCTAATTGTGGAATCACATTTAACACTGGACACGAAGTTGGAAGTTTTGTAAGCAGAGGTTGATTATACTATCAATACCACACCTATTGCAAATAGCTGACGGCATGCTGATTCACAATTCTTTGAGATTTGTGAGCCTACGTACCTAGCATCATACTGGCACTGAAGTTCATTCACTGCAACACTCATTAGTAGGATAGGAGAGATATCTTCATGGCTTGACTGCAGTGTCTCATTCATGGTGAACACCACCTGTGTTACAACTGCATAGTAGAAGCACGAAACACCTAGCTTCACTTTTTACTCAAACCCAAGATACCAGGATATTATGAGATAGTGTGGGCAGTTGTCAGGACTATAAGCAGCAGTCTTAGGACCATTCATGAGTTCAGAGATATACAGTGAGAAAAGATCTAGTAATTATCCAACAGGCATCCAATTTCAGCATCCAGCTAGCTTGGTGAACAACACAGCTAGGGCCATATTTATGAGATTGCTTATATGGCTATTCTTACAGCACAGAATTGTAGGAATCCCATTTCCTATACTGCTCAGTCAAGGGGGGCTTGTGATGGACAATAGGAGAGAACCCCTAAACAATTTCTCAACTACGAAAAAGGCACTCATGTGATTGCTCCGTTTCAAATGCTGAATTTTGAAGTGCAGGTAGGCAGGATTCGTTAAACTCAAGAGGCTGCAGAAAAGATTTAAGGATGTTGCCGTGACTGAATATTTTGAGTTATCGGGAGAGGCAGAATAGATTTGGGCTTTCTTCCCTGTAACTGAGAATGAGGGATGACCTTATACAGGTTTATAAAATCATTAAGGCATGGATAGGGTGAATAGACAAGGTCTTTCTCGTGGGGTGGGGCAGCCTAAATCTACAGGGCATAGCTGTAAAGTGAGAGGGAAGAGATTTAAAAAGGACCTGAGAAGTAACTTTTTCACACAAACGGTGGTATGTGTAGCGAAAGAGCTGCCAGAGGATCTGGTGGAGGTAGGTACAACTCCAACATTTAAAAGGCATCTGGATGGGTACATGATTGGAAGGGTTTAGAGCGAGAGGGACTGAATACTGGCAAATGGAACTAGGTCAGATTGGGACGTCTGGTTGGTGCAGGCATGTTGGACCAAAGGATCTGTTTCTATCCTGTATGACTTTGACGTACAACACACATAAGGAAAATACAGCAGAGGCTTTAAATTAAAAAATGCGCAGATAGCAGAACTAAAATGATATTACATAAATCGAAGAACATTTACTTATTTTGAGAAAGGAAGAGTAGCTTCAGGGGGATGGACAGTAAAATACATCTTGGCAAAGGAATCAGCATGCCAAAAGGAGCACTTGACTGGTGAGAGTATTTCACCACTCTGTTAAAAGGAAACAATCTTTCACAGGAGGTTTGAGTTACTTTTTGTATCTTGTCCAAAACTCATGGAATGTCCTTACTGTTACACAGATGCTAAAACAAGTATTTTCTTTCATCTTGCTCACCCAGCATGTGTTACAGTCATATACAAAGTTATATACACAAGGGTGATCTTTTACTCAAATGTAAGCATGCAACATTGCAGTCTTGTTTTGACAATAAAGCAAGACAAAGGTTTATTACAGTGATCGTAACTCTATTAGTCATAAAGTAGCTATGAACAAAGGAGAGACCTGATGTAAAAGTTAAAAGTTTTAAAGTGAACTAAGGCCACTTTTCATGGTATTAGGTAGGAACTGTCAAAAGTTGATTATTAGAGCCTATTCGCAGGTAAAAAGACAGTTGGAAAGTGGGAGGCCTTCAAAAAGGAGATAATGAGAGTCCAAAGGCAGTATGTTCCCATTAGTGTGAAGGGGAAGACTGGTAGGTGTACAGAATGCTGGATGACTAGATAAATTGAGGTTCTGGTTAAGAAAATGAAAGAGACAGATGGCAGGTATGGACAGCTGGGATTGAGTGAATCCCAAGAGGAGTATAAGGGTAGTAGAAATATACTTAAGAAGGAAATCAGGAGGGCAAAAGGGGGATACGAGACAGCTTTGGCAAACAGGGTTAAGGAGAATCCAAAAGAGATTCTACAAATACATTAACAGCAGAAGAGTACCTAGGAAGAAAATAGGGCTTCTAAAAGATCAACAAGGCCATCTATATGTGGAACTACAAGAGACAGGCGAGATACTAAACAAGTATTTACTGTGAAAAAGGATATGGAAGGTGGAGAACTTGGAGAAATAAATAAACAATGATATCTTGAAAAGTGTCCATATTACAGAAGTGGTGGTGCTGGACATCTTAAAAAGTGCATAAAAATGGATAAAACCCCAGGACCTGATCAGGTGTATCCTAGAACTTAGTGGGAAGCTAGGGAAGACATTGCTGGGCCCTTGCTGAGATAAGCATGTGTATCATTGATAGTTACAAGTGAGGTGCCAAAAGACTGGAGGGTGACTAGTGTGCTACCACTACTTAAGAAAGATGGTAAGGAAAAACCAGGGAACTATAGACCAGTGAAGCTGACATTAGTGGTGGCTAAGTGGTTGGAGGGACACTGCACTGGCTGATGTCAATCAATGAAAATTACAGGCTGAAACTAATTGCGTGACCACTAATCTCCACGGGTCTGTCCAAAATAAACAATTTAGTTATTTTTGTTTTTGGTTGAGCAATGAGGTTGGGAAGATGGCAGGGTAGCAGAGAGAAGAAAAGCGGAAAAAAAAAAATTAAAAAAAAAAACAGAAAGTTAACTCACCTTGTCATTTTCCAAATAGTTAAAATTGCCCTTTCTAAACAAAGGCTCTCTTGCCATTGTAGACAATGATCATTTGCAGAAGGTAGCCCTAACTTGAACAATGTTGTTTCCTTTGTTGCAGCCCTTTCCTTCTGGCATTAGAGTTTTAGATCGAGGGAAAGTCAAATTTTATTAAAAGACGACATAATCTGGCCAAAGTAGACTGGGAACAGCTACTTACACATAAATCTATAGCAGAAAAATTAGTAGCATTCAAAAAGGAATCGGGGAAGAGTACAAAACACAACATGTTCCCCTCAGGGTGAAATTTTAGACCAACAAGCCCAAAGAACCCTTGATGTCCAGAAATATTCTAGACTGGACATGGAGGAAAAGAGAGGCTTTTGAAAACAGGTAAAAAGGGACCAAATCAACAGAGGCCCTAGTGGAGTATTGAGTGTGCACAGATGAAATAAAAAAGCAATTAGGAGAGTGAAGAGGTGGCATGAAAAAAGAAAAACGATGGCCGTTAAAATTAGGGAGATTCCCAGGATATTGTAGAAGTATTTCAAGAGGAAGAGGAAGAGGTTAACCAGGGAAACAGGAGCACCCATTCAGGACAAATCTGTGCATAGATCCAGAGAACATGGGTAGGGTGTTAAATGGGTACTCCTTCGGTCTTCAGTCTGGAGAAGGATGTAGGACAGAATTCAGGAAGAGGGACGAGGAGGCTCTTGAGCAGAGTGGCACAGAGAATAAGCTGATATTGAAGGTTTTGGCAGGCTTAAAAAGGTAAACAAACCCCCATGTCCAAATAAGTTGTATCCGAGCCACTGTGGTTGCCGAGGAAG